GAATGCTCCAGGGACAGAGGATACCTGCCCACAACCCCACACCACCACTGGGGCCTCTGGGCCTGTCTCCCGGTGTGAAGCAAAGATGTGACGGTGGGACCAGAGGTGTGAGCGAGGGCCGGAGCGGGGCTCCCAGGGTGCTCTGCTGCCACCCCAACAGGGCCCTCCTTGTCTGCCCCGAGTGCCAGCATAGTCCTTGCACAGGAGTGCTCCAGGGCACAGCCAGACAAGACGCCCTGGCAGCCTGTGAGAACACGGAGTGGCCGTGCCAGGCATTCAGGCCAGGCCAAGGGTGGCCGGAGCAGGACTCGAGGTCTGGCAGGCCCTGGGAGCCCGCCTGCAGATGTGTGGCTCACAACTGCCAAGTAGCAGACGCCGGGCACCATCTCCCGGCCTCAGCCCAGGGCCTCTGGCACCGCTGACCCACCCGGCCTGAACCTGGGCACGTGTGGCCCTGAGTGGGGAGAGGCAAGAGGGAGACAGGCCATACGGGGTGCCCTTCCTCCCTCGCCCATGGCACCAGAGCACCCCATCTCAGGCCCAGCCTCCACCAGCAGGCGGGGGCCAATGCTGGGCCTGCTTCCTGCTGCCCTCCCAGGCCCCCAGGCCCCTATGGCTGGGACACACACTTGGTGACTCGCTAGAGAAGCGCATGTGTGCGCGTGTGGGGGTGGCAGTATGAGGGCTGAAGGGCGGGCCCTGCCTTACGTGCCCTTCGTGCCGTCAGGGAGCAGGCGCGGGGCTCCGGCAGACCCACAGGTGTCAAAGGCTTCAAGGAGCAGTCAGCAGAGAGGCACAGTGGCTAGGGTCGTCCAGGGAGAGCCTTCCACATCCACCCACACCCTGCCAGAAGACTGTGGAAAAGAACTGGACAGTAGGTGACCCTTCTCGGCTGGACACCTGGGGTTTCCCCACCCCTCTGTACCAGGGCCACATGCCCTCCCCCGGCCCCACTCAGCCACGTGGTACAATCTTTGAGGAAGGAGGGTGCTGCCACCTCCCAAGGGTGGGGCAGGGAGCCCGAGAGAGGTCCTTTACCTAGCCCCTTTGTCAACCGGAAGGAAGCAGTGCTCTCACTGCTGAGGAAGGGGTAAATCGAGGCTCAGAGTTGCCCCCAAGTTTTGTCCGATGCCATGCAGCCAGGGAGTGGCAGAGCCGGCACTGCACTGCCTGCCTCCTTGCCCACCATGTGGACCCAGCACCCGGCGTTGCAAGCTTGCTGCAGGCCTGAAGCTGAAAGGTCTCACAGTCACTGGGAGGGGCAGAGGCCTCGACCCACCCCAGGGGGCACGGGGGAGACTCCTGGGCAGCCCCACTGCCCCTGCTGCAAATATGGCATCTCTCTCTCTGCCATCTTCCGCCTTGGCCATGGAGCCAGCCCCTACTCTGCCCCGGTGCAGCCACAGTCAGTCCTGCCTGTGCTGCCTTGGCCTTCATCTGCAGGGCAGGCTCCTGGGACAGGCCAGGGGCTGCCTCAGAGCGCTGTGGGGCCTTGGGGCCGGTGTTCCCAGCTTGGCCTCCAGAGCCTCGGCTCCACCTGGCTCCCTCCCTCACCCAGCCTAGCCAGGGAGAGAGTTTGGCCTTGGGAAGGAGAACAGCCTGGCAGTTCCTGAAGCTGGGGGTAGAGGGTCACTGACCAGGAGGAGTGGGAGCAGGAGCGGGGATTGGTGGGCGTGGGTGGAAAGAGCTTCCTAGTAGCCAGGGGTGCCAGAGGGGAGCAAAGGAGGTGAGGGTCCCAGGTCCCCAGGGCAGGAGCTGTGCGGTAGGGATGGGGCCATGCTAGGGACCCTGTGGGGCAAGGCCAAATGACTCCTGGGACAGGCCCTGCCGCGCAATCTCCATGGGGGTAGGTGAGCCGGGGAAGCAGGGGGAGGGGGTGGGGGAGGGGGGTCCTGTGCCCAGAAGTCAGATGCCCCCTGGGAAAGCTCCCCTTTCCTCCCACCCTTCCCTACCCCAGTCATGGGAAAGGTTTGGGTCCATGCCCGGAAGGCAACCCTCATGATGTCCGGGGCCCGGCACCTCAACTCTCCAGATGCAGACCTGGTGCGGAGCAGCTGCAGGGCAGAGTGCAGAACAGCGGGAGGACCCACCAGGTCCTTGGAAGGTAAGGGGCCCATGGACAGGCGAGGGCAGGGCTGCCAACCCCAGCCGGCCAGCCTCCCAC